GTCAAATAAATAAATAAAATCTTAAAAAAAAAAAAAAGACCAAATTGCAGCAGAGGAAATGTGGCAATGAAATCTAGGAAGGTTCAATATGAAGGAATGGCCTCAAATTAAATGGTGCCCCAGCAATCACAATTCATTAGTAGGTGAGAGGCAGCAAGAGGTTCCCAGTGTCCTCTTCAGATTGCACTGAGCTCCCAGATGCCACTTTCTAATACGAATGCTAAGTGATTACCCTGCTTTCTCTCTTGGGTAAGAGAGAAATAGCTCATGCCATGAGACTGGTGATTTTCTATAAATATGTTTGCTTGATTTCAATGGTGTAGAAAATGGATTCAGAATATTTAAAAAGATTTTATTTATTTATTTGACAGAGAGACAGAGAAAGAGAGAGCCCAAGTAGGCAGAGTGGCAGGCAGAGGGAGAGGGAGAAGCAGACGCCCCGCTGAGCAGGGTGCCTGATACAGGGTTTGATCCCAGGACCCTGGAATCATGACCTGAGCAGAAGGCAGCCGCTTAACAGACTGAGCCACCCAGGTGCCCCGGATTCAGAATTTAACCAGAGGGGCAAGACACTGGTAGGGTCTCCAGCATAAGATGAAGGATTAGAGAGAGGCATGATTTCTGGTCCTGTGGAAGGATGGGGATGCAGACTAGAAAATCCAGAAGGAAGCCACTAACACATAGTGAACTACAAGTACGTAAGTAAGGAGAGAAGCTCACCATGGGGAGCTTTTAAGGACCCAGTGTTCACCATTGTCCAGGCTTGAAACATTGGTGGTTCAGAGTAGAAAATGCTGAAATCTACCCAAATGCAAACATAGCGTAGGAACAGAGTTAATGCCCACCCAAAACCATGCGCATCAGCTTTTGAATAGAGCATGTTTTCATAGAAGTCTTTGTTTTACAACATCTGTTCCCCTTTACTAAAGGGCAGTTTTGAAACCAAAGTTATCTTTTTGGCTACTGGTAACTCTCATGCGAAATGTCGCTCTTAGTCATTTCTTAATTCCCCATCCAGGAAAAGGAGAAAAAAATATTTAAGACCATAAAGTACCTCAGAAAAACCCTGCTAATGAACTCTAAAAACTTTTCAAATTCTTCCCCTATACTGGAATTTTATTGAAATTAATTTGACCTTCATCCTTTGATCTCCAGGGACCTTGGTGTTCTGTTCAGCAAAATAAAGAGAAGGTCACTAGATGAACTCCAAGAGCCCTTAAGGGAATAGCATTCTGAATTTCTTTGAATCTGTGAATATTACTTGAGAAAAGGCAGTCACTTGAGGTTTAAACACTCTGTGTGGTCTTTGAAGCCAAGACAATGTCTTTAGTTCTTTTTGTAAAATGCAGTGTTTGTATATTGTTCAACACTCAGTAGGCTCCGAATGTGTAAGTGTTGCCTAGACACTAGAGAAAATCAATTATAATGATCTTCTTTCTAATAGGTCTGAGTTATGGTACTCTCTAGGCATACTTGCATCGTACTGTAATACTTTAAGTATTTTAGATACAGTATAATACACTGTGGCTCTGCCCAAGTGTTTAGGATCCAGGACAGAAAATACAGCATTAAAATATACTTTTATAGAGAAAACTGTAATTTTTCCACATACAAAGCTACAAAAAAAATATAGTCAAATAAATAGGGAATTTTACAGAACACTCTAAAACAATCTTTATTTTTGTATGTTTCCTGACGCCAGGAGAGGTCAATGACGTAGACATATTATTTCCTACATATTATTTCCTACATAATAAGCTCTGCCTTTGTCATTGACTTCTCCTAGGGTCATTCTCTTTGTAGATAACTATGTTAAGGTGAATTGATTTACAATATGCGTTAGATATACACTGCATGGGTTTAAGAGTTAAATTGTCAATTTTTCAGACATAATTTAGTTTATTAAAAATTTTAAAGCTAGGGGGAGTCTGGGTGGCACAGTCCATTGGGCATCTGACTCTCGGTTTTGGCTCAGGTCATGATCTCAGGGTCATGACATGGAGCCCCACGAAGGGTTCTGAACTCAGTGCAGAGTCTGCTTGAGATTCCCTCTCCTTCCTCTGCCCCTCCCTCTCGTGCTCTCTCTCTCTTTCTAAAATAAATACATAAATCTTTAAAATATATATATATATAAAATAAAAATTTTAAAGCTAAAACTTTTTAAAATAAAATAGATTTCATAATCAAGAACACCTAAGTCAAAATTGGAGCAAAAATAAATACATAAAAGCTATGTACAGAAATCTGTGTTAGTTTTTAAAATGCACCGACTCAAATATAGGGAAGGAAGAGGTAGCTCATGGAATGTTCTAAGAGAAGCAGCATTCCATGGCAATAAAGTTTAACTCAGGTTTAAGCAGAACATGGTGAACATTCTAGAGGGGAAAATAAGCATAATTCAGGAAATGGAATTCAAAGTAGGGGTTCAATAGATTCTCAAGGTTCACCAGTCCTCTATGAAAATTCCTCTTTAAACTTTGTGCTTTCACTTCAGTGATTATCTACAATATTAATGTGAATTACACATATTGGAGCATCTGGAGAGCCATTTTATATCATCACTTTGCCAGGGGTTTTAGTTCCTGCCTCTGTATTTGAGTTTAGAACCAAGTTAACTCCAGGAGCACTGCATTTCTAGTCGGAAGCTACAGAGAAAATGATAGAGGTAGACTTGATATACAAAGAGTTTGTTCACATCCAATGAAGACCAGCCGGCATTACATTTTCCGGAAGAAAGAAGGTTTTCATCATAATTCAACCAGAGGAAATTGGTAGTCTTAAACTGAGCACATAAGACAAACCCAAAATGACTTTTGCCATAGCAGTCTGTACCCGTTTATATGGGTGTTTTGTTTTAGCCAAACCAGCTCACCCATCATATTAAATTAAGGAAGGTAATCCCAATTGTGCTATTTTTATCAGACTTTGCTATTTAATTTTAAATGTGCTTTGGTCTTATAGTACAGTATAAGAATTACAAGTTTGTAAAAGCTAGGCCATATGTTACGCTTGTATATATTTAAATAACATTGTAGTAAAAGTTTAAGTCAATGCTGGAATTTATTAGAATGTTGTTTTCCCCTTTATGTTAAAACCCAATTCGACCATGAGAAAATACAAAGCAATATAATAAATAGTTTCTATCCTAAAGTTACATATAGTCTTTGAACTAGATTTCATGTTCTTTTACATTGCTTCTTCAAAAAGCTAACTTAAATTGCATAAGCTAGATCAACATATTAATGGTAAATCCTTAATTTGCTCAGTGGCGTTAGATAGATCTTGGTACAAACCTGCCTGCCCTTTCCTAAATGTGTGAGGCTGGGTAAGTTACTTCATTTCTTCTCTCCACTTTAAGATCCTCATATGTGAACTGAAAATTCGCATAATGTTTTGTCAATTAAATATTATTAGTAGTATTAGTATTAGTAGCTTGCCCTCTTTGAACAAGTTATAGGGACCAGCCCCTTTAATTACATAATCTTATTTAATCCTCACAAATTATCATTTCCATTTTACAGAAGAAGAAACAGGACAAGGGAAGTTAGGTCAGTTGACCAAGGGATTACATGGCTAGTACATAGTTGAGAGTTCCAGGATCTGAATGTAGACTAGACTGATAAATCCCAAATTCTTCCCCACTATGTTTTTTGGCCTAAAATGACTTAAAGTACTTACCATAGGTCTGGAGCTTATAGACACTCAGTAAATATTTCCTCTCTTAAAGAAAATGATTCACATTTCTCCTGTTTCTATATTTCTTTTCATCTGAGCTACCAAGAACTTAAGATCACCCTCTAGTGATAAATCACTCCAACTGCAAACTTTGGAAGTTTAAAAGTGAAAGAATATAAGTATGAAGGAATTTGTGCTAGGCCAAATAAATATGAAAGTATGAAAAAAGGTGCTATGTTATGATTTATCATTATTTTGCCTAGCATATACCCAATTGTTGACCTCTTAGACTGTTCCCATTATTTTTTTCCAATAAACAAATGCCCACAATTTTTTTGATTGTAAAATAACCTCTGAGTTCTGTTAATTAGAATTAAATTTATAAAACTATGATCAAAACAAAACATTTTCCCCAAAATATGTAGTAATAGACCATTGGGATCATTAGAACTCAAATGTCATTTTTGATGGTACAAAAGAACTCAAGCAAACTTCTTTCCATGATTTAATTCAGTACCCTCTGTGCTGAGGTTTTGGTTACAAAGCTAAGAATGACAAAGTCTGTTAAATATGTGAGGTATACTAGCTGATTCAATAAGCCTTCATAAAACCTTTATTTTATGCTATAAGGACAAATTATATTACTGCTATAAGCTAAGCAGGATTTATAAGCAAATTTCAGACCCAAAAAGAGAAGGTATCCATTGTTTCTAACAGACAGAAATGTCATCTAGTAGAAAGTCAGCAATTCCTACAAATTATTTTATTGAGAGAAGCTATACTGATCACAACAGAATAATATCTTTTTTTTCCCCCAAACTGAATTAGGAATGAGATTCTATGAGTTTAGCCAGTAGGACTTTATTTTACTATAACATCTAATAGTCATTTATAGATCAAGAGTGACCATCTCTTTTAATGGGACAAATATTCCTGTTAAACAATTTAGGCTTTATTTGGGCAAGCTAGCACAGGGCTTTTTGGCCCAAAGCTGGGACTGGCACCAAGTGAGTTCCACTGACACTTTGTAGGGCGTGATGAACAGTCTGGAGCTCCCAGGCAATCTTTCACATTGTGATTTGAAATCCACTTGAAATTACATATGACTGGTGGAGCGTCGTCTGGAGATGTCTAATCAGAATTTGTCTTCCATTCAGTAGAAATAAAATGAGCCCATTCATTGTATCATAATTCATCTCTATACTCCAGAATGAACAATAACCCAAAATCAATGCCAACCCACTGGAGTTGGCTTCCACGCTTGAGAGATTGTTCCCCAGAATGTCTTATACATCACTTTCCTCACTCTGCGTTTTCTATTTCAGGGCCTACTCTTCCCAAGACTCATGTTAAGACAGCCTCTCTTGGGTTGGCTGGAAAGGCAAGATCTCCTTTGCTTCCTGTATCCGTGCCCACGGCCCCTGAAGTATCCGAGGAGAGCCACAAAGCAACAGAGGACCCAGCCAATGTAAGGCCATCCTTGAATTTATGCTGCATCAGGTGAAACAGTGACGGCTGCTATACTTAAAAAGCAATCTTAAAACTCAAGCAGACGACTAAAGAATGTGTGACTTTATATACCTACACATCTATATATGTCTATAGATGTATATATGTATTCCTTGCAATGAGTTGAAATACCTCGGCATTTGACTACATATAGGATGATTCTTTTAAACAAAAAAGTAATAATAATAATAACAAAAAGTTATACTCTGAAGACTTTTCTGAAGTTATCAGACGTGTCACTTCTAAAATCATACAGTAGCCTAGACATATAGAATCGAAAAGAAGAAAATACAAAGTGAAGAAATGAAGGAAGGAGTTTAAGAGGAAAAAAGAGAAGGAACAGACATATTTAGAAAATAAGAGAAAATTTAGTTATTGGAGAGAAAACATTTGCTAACTGGAGGAAAAAATTAAAATGTGGTCAAATTAGAAAACTCAGAAAGATAGTCAATGGAGACCAAAAAAAAAATCTGAATTTTGAGAGAGCAAAACAGTTCTCCCAAAAATGGATTATAAAAGAGATTTAAAGAGATGTTGCCTAAAGGCAGAGATTTAGAAAACTTTACAGTGTTTCTGAATATAATTCAAGAGAAAGTATTTAAAAGGAGAAACAAGAGCTATCATATCATGTACATTGAAAAATCACAGTGGAAAAAAAATATATGTTTATAAAAAATAAAATTAAAAAAAAAGATGGGAAAAACAAATTAGAATCATCTCATTTGAATGAACAATAAATTTTTTCTTAACTTTATTGTTTTCGGTACTGCAAGGACAAGGTATTTTAAGAACATGGAAACCAGGGAATCTGGATATCTGTATGTGTGTGAATGTTTGGCAGAAGTATATTATATGATTAATGTATGTTTTGTATATTTTAAAAGATTCAAATTTATAGGAACCTATTGCACTACTTTGTCAGGATTTGGCTAGTTAGTACAATATTCATTTAGTTTCAGGGTTGTTGGCCATATCTCGTCATTTCTGTAATATATCTCATCTCAAAAGGAATTATGTCAGGTAGCCCATATTTGTATATAAGGTTGGTCCTAAAGAGTGACAACCAAAGCTATAATATTAAAAGCAATAAGATTGTATGTTAAAGGATACACAGAAATAGGGCAAATAAACTAGATCAGCACTGCCCTATAGGAATATAATGTGAACCATATGTGTAATTTTAAATTTCCTAGAAGCCATATTAAAAGATGTAAAAATAAATGATATTTTAATACTATCTTCCATCTAACCCCGTATTTCCAAAATACTATCATTTCAACATGCAATAAATACAAAAATAATTGTCAAAAAGATATTTTACATTTTCATACTAAGTGTTCAGAATCTGGTGTGTATTTTATATATATAAAAAGCATTTCAATTCAGACTAATCACATTTCAGAAATCCAGTAGCTGCACGATGCTAGTAGTAGTTGCTGTGTTGGACAATGATAGCTAGATAATTTAAGAAAAACAACCCAAACCACAGTTAGGAAACAAGTTACCAACTGATCAAGTCCCTTCAACCTCTCCCTTCATATGTAGACCAGTCTTTGAGCCAAACTGGCTACTTTTCCTTCCCCATTAAGCACTGGAGATTATATGGTATATGACCACTCATTGGTATGCAGAGATTTCTATAAAAAGGAACCATTTTCAGCATATTTAATATCATGCATTCTGAGCTGTTTCCTTAGTGGCTAGAGTGAGTGAGTGCCCATCACTCAAATACTCTCCAGTGGTGTGCTCTGGTGATCAATGGTATTTATTTGGCAGGATTAGATACACATTCTGACCAGGTAGTGAGTAATGCTTTCTATCCTACACAGAGCTACGACTCAGGTCTCATTGTTTCAATAACTTAATCAAATTAGTGACCAAGAATAATCAAGTAGGACAGGTTTGTATTAGTCAAAATAAAGAGTATGTTGAGAAAAGAAAAGAAAAACTAATATTTATTGAGCAGGTAATACCCACCAACACTGACTGAATCCTCCCAGTATTAAGCTGAATACTTGCCTCATTGAATCCTACACAATGAGGCAAACTTGTTACTCCCATTTGACACATAAAGAGACAGACTCAAAAAGAGCAAGTGTATGAAAGAGCTGGGATTCTAATCAATACCACAGCCTTATTTTCCCCACTGGCTAGCCATCAGAATTACTTGGGAAGTTTAAAAAGAGAAAGGTTCTATGGGGTGCCTGGGTGGCTCAGTGGGTTAAAGCCTCTGCCTTCAGCTCAGGTCATGATCCCACGGTCCTGGGATCAGCCTGCATCTGGCTCTCTGCTCAGCAGGGATCCTGCTTCCTCCTCTCTCTCTCTCTGCCTGCCTCTCTGCCTACTTGTGATCTCTGTCAAATAAATAAATAAAATCTTTAAAAAAAAGAGAGAGAGAGAGAGAGAGAGAGAGATTCTAACCATCTTATATTAACTGCATCAGAATTCCTGAGGACAACAATGGGGATATCTGTTCCGTGATAACTAATGATCTTATATTACTAATAACCTGATTCTCATGGCTTCCAGTAAGAGTTCTAGAGAGTATGTTTACTAACACTTCCAAGATTTCCTCAGTTCAACCTCTTTGTTGTATCCACCAATCAAGTGTGCTAGAAGATTGCCTTTACAATTATGCATATAGGCAACTCTGGTTTGGGGTGAGAATTTTGTTTCTACGTACAAACTGAAGTCCTACTCCTCGGGCCTTTCATTGGTCAAGGCAAACAAAGCCCATCAAACTTCCACACACAAAAATATACCTACATTGTGTTATGAAAAAAAGGGACATGGTGATATGCATCCTGTTCAGATCCTGCTGGGTGACCCACAGGAAAGAAAAAGGAGAGTAACAGATTGAACATGTACCATGTCCTGGTCACTGTGATAGTTACTACACAGGCCACAAGGTGCTCAGGATAGCTATGAAATAGATGACCACCCTCATTTTATAGCTGAGAAGAGCTGTGGATCAGAGAGGCTCACTAACTTACCCGAGACCACACAGTTCTATGCTGGTAGATAGAACTTGATGTGAAATGAGACTTTTGTTTTTGTTTTTGTTTTTGTTTTTTTTACTTTAAAGCTTTTTCCTCAACACAGGGATGGTTAGTGGAACACGAGGCAATCATTCCTCTCATCGCCGCCTCTTTCATTACCAGCGTCTTCATTCAGTGGGTTATATTCCGAGCACAGCCTCTTGCTTTGGCTGTGGGCCACTGTGTCATGCTTGGTAATACAAAGTAAAACAACTAGATGTGGCCACTGCCTTCGTAAAAGGGGCTATCGGTGTTCACCTGTCCTGACTCTTTGTTCTCGTTCTTTCTGCAGGTATATGAACAGGATGATTTGAGTGAACAAATGGCAAGCTTGGAAGGGCTAATGAAGCAACTTAATGCCATCACAGGCTCGGCCTTTTAACACATCTTACCCAGTTGATGAGGTGTATTTTCCGGGAACCTTGCAGCATACCAATTACCCATAAACAGCACACCTGTGTCCAAGAACTCTTAACCAGTGTTCAGGTCAACCATCAGGACCACTCAGTTATGGAAGATCCTGAAGCAGTTCAGAAGGACTAAGCATCCCTTCCTTCATAGGCATCAGGAATTTCACAATGATTACCATGGGGTCCCTACACAAAAGCAAAGATACATCCTCACCGCAGTGTCAAAGCTGAAGCTGCTAGCCTAGTCCTGGGTCTTTGCCACTGCAGTGACCACGCTGTCATAACTAAGGTTTGGGTTTTCCTTCACGGAGGCCTGTCATTTCCTTTCTGTGTATGTCTAGTCTTACAAAATGCAAGTGCATTACTGAAGCCTGTACCATGCCATCGCAAATCAGTGCAAGCTCATTATTTTGTTTTCAACTTCAAAGTACAAAGCACCCACGGAAATTCTCTCGCTACATAGCACCAAAGGATTGGATGTTTTCTTGACAGCACAAAAAGTAAATAAGTAAACAAAAGGCAGTGAATGCTTATGCTTTGTAACTCAGACATTCGTCTTGCACAAGTGGTGGATATTAGCCAGTGGCTGTAAAATTCACCCATTTTAGCAAGTATTTGTAAATCCACCCTTGGTTAATATTTATGTCTGGAGAATAGGAACATAAAAATCTGCAACTAGGGGCATCCTGCCAGCAGCAGTCTGTTTCCTGAAAGAGGATACAATATGCAATCTTCTCAGACACACGGTAATTACATGCTTAAGCTTGTAATAGACACTTGTCAATTTGGGTGGCTTTTGTGCCATATCACACTGTGATGATATTTCAAAGCTTCACTGTGGCCATCTTCCTCAGAAGTCTGGCCGGAAGAGCTCCCCTCCCCCACTTCATCCTGTCCCTCCCTGAGTTCTGCCAAGGAGTTCTGGCAGCCTTGGGCAAGGTAGCCAGCTTCGCATACCGCTTGGCCTCCTGACCATGGTCCCTGTCACCCTCTGTGGAATCGGCAGACTCCCTGAGAACAGGCCCTGAGGAAGGGAAGGAAAATGGAAGGCAGTTTCAAACAGTACCTACTCTTGTGTGATGTCACTTCCGCCAACAGGCTCCTCACTGACTCAGAGGAGGCAGCATTGGTCATTGGCGGCCACCAGGCCCTGTTGTCAGGGGAACCTTCTACACTATGCCTGCCCAGAGTCAGAGAGGAGCAGAGGGGAAGGTGCCGCTTGACCCTTCTGAGGCATTATAAATCCAGTGGCTGCTTTTCAGAGCTGCATCTTCATTGTGAACTGGAATTTTAAACTTCTAACGCCATGTTTATCTACGGCTTGGAACTAGGTGAAATTAAGAACATTTTGTGTGCACCCTTTTAGTTTCTGAATTTCCAGCTGCATTTGGAGTTAATCCCTGTTTATGCAGCTGAATTGCCAAAAGGGAGCTAGTTTGCATATTTATCAGTTAGGCGACTTGAAAACCCAATAAGAGAGTTTCAGCTGAATTATTCCTTTCAGCTCTGTCTTTGATTTCAAGCTTGAGTAGGTCATAATTTTAAAAGAGCATGGAAGGGATAGGATCTTTACAACCTAATAGCTCCTTTTATTAGGTGGGTAATTATATATGAATCCCTGAATAAAATATTTTGAGCAAAATGGCACTGTAACAGAAGTAATAATTCAGATTATTTTTTTACAGTTTTATGTCGGGAAGGAAATCTGATGTCAAAGAGAGGGCTTGTTCAAATGGTTCATTAGAAAGTCCGGTCCATTTGTGAAATTGTTCCTTCAACGGGAGTGCTTATTCAATTTGCTAAGATTTTCTTGAAGTTCTTCTGAAGAGCTATGTGACGTTATTCTATGGGGCAGATGACTCTTCTTCAAAATCTGGGCACTTGGGTAGACAACCCTCCACTGACCAGGAACAAGGCATTTCCTAATATAATACTGAATCTTGCCAAAATAATTCATGACTTCAGAAAATGTTCACTAGGCTAGCTTTATCCTCTCGAGGTCCTAGAATGCCCCCCCCATTTCTAATACTAATAAGGAATATTCTCTGATGGTATTTGTTATCCAAGGAATGTTAGCCTGAATGCTCTGTTTGGAATTGGCTACAAATCTCAAATTTCAGATTGAGTCACATCTTCAATCTATAGACTGTATCTGGACAATCAAGAGAACTATCATTCCTCACCAAATCCTCGATGACTCTAGTCAAAGTCACAGACCTTAACAAATAAAAGTTTTTAAAACTACATGAAAATATGCATTATTTGTTTTCAGCAAGAAGTACATTTCTGGTGCATGCTCTTGGAGCATTCCTCATTAAAGAAATACAATGGTTTATTTTAGTAATTGGTAATGCTAATAACTCTTTGCTTCATGCCTCGAAGATATAGTAGAACCCATTTAAATTCTCTCAAGAGACTCTTGTTTGCTTTACCCAATGATTTTAATATGCAATGACTTTGCCACAACTTTTGTAAAGCTCTGCTCCCTACTCAGAGTTCACGTATGTATATTGCCTGCTCAAGTTTTCAGGTAACTTTTTAATTTCCCAGTCTTCTGATCTGTTGACAAGAAGCAATCTGTGAAGACTGCAAGGTAGCCTCTATTTTGTTCCTACTCCGAGCCTAGTTCATAACATGCAGGGCTCTTTAAACTCATAAATCTCTCTGACTCCCATAGGGCGATACTTGACAGCCAACCAGCAGTTCTGCCACCAGGATCATTTCTCCCTGAAAAAGAAGAAAATAAAACTTGGCAGGGTATGCTCCGGCCTCCCCAGCACTGGGCTGAACTGGCGGGCAAGAGCCGCCTCTTGAAAAAGTTTATATTTTTCTTTTGTATTTCATACCGATGAGAAAGCCATTTTTCTTTCCTCTAGAAATTTCTGCATTTGTTAAACTCACAAAAATGCAGACAGCTCAAAATGCATAAGGCATATTTGGAGGACGCTCTAGCCATAAGTTAAATATTTCTTACTGATTCAGATTCAGTTTGAAAAAAAAGAGAATCCTGCATAAAAATTCATACATACAAAGAGTTACCTCTTTGTAAAATAGTGCTATAAACTTCCAAAATATGTAAACAATGGAACTTCACTTTTGGGTATTATAAAATGCACACTCAGTTGAACAATCTGGAATAAAAAAAATTAGCAGAAACAGGTCAAGCCAGGGATATAAGAGGTGAATTTATTGACGTTTCCCATGAGGGATTGGATATAACATTGTTCTCTTCAAAATAAGGGGAGCTTGAAATGACACATATGTTTGGTCCTCTGCCTCAGTAGGAGCTATGAAGGGAGAGTGGCCCAGCATTCATGTGTCATACCCATCAATATCTGGAAACTTTAAAGTTTGGCACTCACAGCTTTTCCAATAAAGAATCTCTAAGTATAGACCTTTCTGGAAAACTTCCATAGTCTGTGTTTGGAGATGGTTGCTCATTCTTACCCACCCTTTTGATAATCTATCTGTTGACTTTATTTAGAGGAACATCTAAAGTCTTCTCCAATTTAAGAGAGGGTTTCATATGGCAGCTGGACTATAACTCCAACAATAACAAAAATGTCATCTCTAAAGAAATCACCTTACCATTTCATATGAAATTGTATCCCAGACTCCGACTTCTTGTGGTTTTACGATTTCCATCTCTAGTCCATAAGAGAGAGAGAAATAGAAAAAATTCCCTAGTTTTATGTGTGTTTAGAAAAAACAAAATCATCTAAATTTTCTAATAGATGTGAAACAAGGTTGCTTTCCCTCCCTCAATCAACTAGTTGACTTCATACAATCGCTGAGTGTCCTGGAGGCCAGAGGCTAGCATTCCTCGCCTGTTCATAACCATAATACAATACAGAGCCCATAACCTAGTAGAGCTTCAGAACCAGGCATACACACACATCTGCCATCTCTTTCTTTAAAACTACTTTCAAAGCAATGTTTTACTCTTCTGTTTTGTCTATTTCTCTAGTGACTTTCAGAAATCACTTAAATATTGCACAGAAGAGCTTTTCACAGGATTCCATGGCTTTAAATTACACTAGCTACTTAGAAAATCATAGATATTTTGTGTGATATTCCATCCCAATGAAAAATATGCATTCCCGTGCTTCAGTGTACTTTGCTATCCAAATACCTGCTTTCAAAAGGTAATGATGGAAAGAAATGCCCGAGTATTTTCCTGGTCAGTGAGGTTGCAGACGAGACCAATACCATGCCCATATAAGCAAATAAATATTACTTCTGGGCTCTGCATGGCCGCCCTTGGGTAACGTTCATTTGGCGACTTCTGGCTGCACTCTCTGAAGGATTTCTTCTCCTGCTCTCAGTAGAGAGCCTTTGTACATGTCATCCTATAATTTTTTTGTTGGCTGGAGAGCAACAGCTAAACTCTGCAAGATGTCACAGATGCATGGGCCAAGGGATCTCACTGTGTGCTGAACGTGTTATCTTCAGAAGCAAGAAAGGAATGTTGGAGAGGAGGAGAAAGGCTGTTTTTTATTATTGTAGGGTAAACCTGACAGTTCTGACCTTGGTGAATTGTCAGCTTGTTGGGGGGATGGGTGGGTGGGTCCGGGGTGTACTTTTTATAAGTAATATTTAATTTATTATTTAGAGTGGCTTCTTTTTGGATAATTTATGATAAAAAGGGAGATCTGGTCGGAAATCTAGATACGGCTATTAAAGCTGCAGTGTTCCATATCTCAGAGGGACCACTTTGGAAATGAATTTGTCCATTGCTGAGTATGAGGATGCGTCCAGGCAAAGCCTCCACTGAAGCAACATCATTACCACCTTCTCCCTTTCCAGGGTCATACAAACAAGATAACACCAAATCTAAAATATTCTGCTAGCATTTTGCAGATCAATGCTACTCATTCTCTCAAAGGGCTTTGCAATTCAAATTGTTATTGTGCTAGTGGTAGGTTTATTTGGTAGAAATGGGTATACTACAGCTTTAACTAGCCTTAGTGGAAAAAGAAATTTTTTGTTGCTACAAAACA